GATAATACAATAACATAAAGATTCATTCAGTTTGATTATTTTTTAAGGATCTTTCCGGTTTTTCTTTTTTCACTCAACAAATGGTGAGTAACATCCTGGAGATATTGCTAATACATTACTGGGCATAGAAAGTACACCTAAAGGCAACATATAAACTCTAATTAACACAGTATATCTGCTTCTAAATTAAGAAGGTGCACTTTCTTCCACCTCTTTCCTTAAATCATTAAGTGCTAAGAAAAAAACAAAAAACAAAAAAAAACAACTAAAAGTTAATTGGCCCTAAGATTCAAAAGCAAAACTCCCCGAAGATCTGAGATTTACTGGCAAGGAACAGATCTGATACACAGAAAGGGTTCCAGTGTAATAACTAACATAGACATTGAAATAAATAAATTAGAAAAAAATAATTTTAAAGTAAAAATTGCAGAGGAGGGTTTCCAAAATTCTTCAAAAATACCAAAAATAACTGTAAAGCTACACAACTTGCAAATATGGTGCAGCAATAAAGACTTAAAATGCTTGGCCAATATGAGTTTTATCAGCTTAAAGTAACACAAAAACTTTAACATGTGGGCATGGCTGACATTGAAATGAAGCTCAGGCGTAAATTCAATCTGAAAAACTCTTATCAGCTCTAGCCAATCAACTTGGGAGCCGCTCCTTCTCCAAAGCCAATCATCTCTCAAGATCCCCTTCATTTAGCCGTTGGTCCAGCTTCTCTTTCCCCCACCCACCTCCTCCTTATCTCTACCCTTATTCTCAGACTGTTCTCAGTCCCACCCACCCTATGGCTTATTCCACCAGTGTTTGGGCCCCAGGGGGAGGGCTACTCTAATCCTTTTCTAGGTTGCTCATCCTAGCAAATGTTGATTTACAGCTTCCAAGTCTTCTGCCGGGCCCGAGCACCAAACAATTTATTTTATTTATGTCTTTATCTGCTTTTGTCTCCTCAAACCCCAAATGGTCTCGGCAGATGGTCGCTCACACTGGGCCTGGTTCTTCTAGAGGTTGCTTCCTGTTATACGAGAGTTTTCCACTCCACTGTCGCTGAATGCATGCTGCGCAAGGGATTGCAGAGAGTCAACGAATCCTCACAATTAGCTGGTTTTACTTAGGTAGAACTGTTTTGAAGAATATGATTGTGTCACCTGCTCAATCATAATCCAAAATCAAAAATGAATACTTTTCTAATTGCAGCTTTTCTCTGTGTGAGTCTCTCCATCCTCTTGAATTAAATAAAACAACACCATCAATTGCTCATTTGAAATTAACTGCATCAAGAATTTGCTCAGGACATCTCTGAAGAATAAACTTTCATTTCAATCTGAAAACCTCACATGAAGAAAAGAGGAGACTTAGAAGAAATGTATTGATACAATTACTTTGTTTTTGACCTCGGCAGGAAACATAGAACTTAATTTGATTGGTATGCATGAACAAGAGCAAAGAATAGGGCTGTTTCCCTGCAGGCCTGAAACTGGTGGTGGAGTTGAGATAGATGAAGCTGGTCAGTCTGTAGACTGCTGGTTAGTGAGACGATATGCTGAGCTTTATGGGGAGATCCAGTGGTTTGCGTGAGCTGATACTAGAGCTTCACTCAGGGACCTGGAAGATGGAAGTCCAGTTGGATAACACAGGTTGAGAGAACCTGTCCATGATGAGCTAGCATGAACATGGCGGTCTTCTGCCGGACCGGTTAAAATGAGACAGTGAACGTAGCAAGAGTCCGGGAGGAATGACACTCTAATGAAGCTTTAGCTACGATGGTGGAGGAGGGGCTGGAGGTGGGTTGAATCTATGTTATCTGAATGAAGTCACACAGCGCATCCGCCGCCTGCACACAGGAGCAGACAAGAGCGGATCGGAGGCCTTTTAAGATGAGCTTTGGATTCAGATTGGCTTTCGTGGAGGTGTGGTTCAATGCTGATTGGCTGTGTCGAAGGTGGATGTATGAAAAGCATTGAGTTTCTTCAGTTGAACTTCTTACAGTAATTTTTTTTTTGTGTTTACATTTTTTGTGAAGATTTTCCAGGAAAATTGTCGTTTTTATCTCCTAAAAAATGTCCACATAAAATAACATTAAACCTTTTATTAGTAGAAAAAACACTAAAAGTGCTTCCACTCCTTTCAGCTGTAATTGAATGAAAGCAAACCCAATCAGTGGTGAAGTCACACTTGTTACAACTGAAACCTTTCTGTAGTTACCGCATGTGCAATATATGATTCATCTGTAATAATAGATTGTAGCATGTTTAAGGCTGGAATATCAAAGTGTGTCCAGGGACTTTCTTTGGAGACACACCTTTTCTGACAGGTGACATAATTTCCTGTCTCATGTGATAACATGTGGGATACTGCTTTGAAGGGTGGGGATTTAAAAAACCCAAGGAAACATGTGCAAGCGCATGTGTGAAAGCCAAACAGTTGCTGTCCTTGAGGCCTTGCTCATTGGAAATATTTGCAAGACATTAAAACTGACTTTAGGAAAAAAGTTCACACGTTTCTGGACTCACAGCTGCAAAAACTATCCTGGCTCATTGTAAAAGGAGGTGTATTCGGACTTGGATATTGAAGAGGACCGTGATGCAGCGCTCTCAATGTGTGGTTAAAATCCACCATCATGTTTGATGTACAATGTGCTTATTTTCAGCAGGTCTGAATTTCATGTGATGCTAATGTCATTAATGTTCTTAATGAGGGGATGATGTAACAAAAGAGGAAGGAAGAAAATCTTCTAAGGAAACAGGAGTGGTTATGAATCAGTCTATGATGCTTAAACATTTAACAAAGATTTTTTTTAATCAAGAGACTATTGTTGTTAGTAAATTAAGCTTTGATGACACATCTAGCTCAAAATGCATATATAAACTGCAGACACAAATTAAACACACTTTCACAAAAAAAATAACAACCCGAAGCATCCTTTGAAGAGAACCTGGATAAATACAAAACAAAACTCATAAGAAGGAAAAAAATGTAAAATATTTTACCCTTTTAACTCTCATAAGCAAAATTAGAAATGCATTTAGAAGATATAAATATGCTTGGAAGAAAACACATATGAAATGTAGCATTCAGGGACTTGTGGTGTATTCAGCTGTCATGTTTTCAACGACGTGCTCATTTTCATTTTTTCACTTTTTTCTGTTTCAGTTCAGTTTCTGTTACCATGTTTGGTTCAACACGTGTTAATACATTCTTTACATTTAGCTTGGTGTTTGCAGAGTGTAGGAGCCTACCTCCTGCTGTCACATAGAGCCAAGCAGTAACAAATGCACATCTAAAGACAATTGTTGGTACATTAAAGAGCCAAAACAAATATACATGCTTGCACAGAAGGAGCATGCAAACTCTACTATAGACCTTATGAGACTTTGCCAGGATTTTATTCTAGGTTCCTCTTCCTCTAAGACAACAGTGATTACCACAGCATTGCTCTGCCACCATCACACATCTTCATATGTTGTCACAAGTTTCAAGATATTTGTTAGCTATTTTATTCAGCTGATCAACACTCACTAATCCATCATGTTAAAGCAAAAGGAACACAAGATAGACAATTTCATTTTAAATTAGAGTTGTTGAAAGGGTTCTTTAGCCTCTTTTATAAAGAAATGCAGTCTATCTCATTGCTATTTAAATGAAGGGGTAGGTAAAAATATTAAGACTTTAAAAAAATATCAAGATTTTAGTGTTAATTATGCCAATAAGTTAAACTTATAGTAACATATTAGTAAAGAGATAAAGAAATAAACAAAAGAAATACTGTACTGTAAAGTGTTTTAACAATATAAATATTGTGCACCTGGAAAATAAATAACCAATATACACTTATGGACTTTTTTACAGTAATGGATATTTCAAAAATAGCAGCAACATCAGAGATGCGCAAAATGCCATGTTATTTAGCTCACTAAGGTAGAAACTGTGCAAAATCAGCATGAATGTAACAACTTACTGAGGTTGTTGGAAACAGTGGTGGTACAGACCTGTGATAATGCTCCCTGGTGCATTTGGGGTGCAGCAGTCTGTCATTGAGGGAGCTCTCCAGTTCTGTGACAGCTTCATGCATGGGGTGGGAGACATTATCAATAGAGATGTTAATTTTGTTAGAATTCTATTCTTTCTCACCTCCTACACTGAGTCCAGAGGGCATCCAATCCAGGTTCAGTCCACCGAAAATGTGCCTGTGTGACAAAGCAATTCACTTCAGTTTATTTATGTAGCGCCGATTCACAACACATGTCATCTCAAGGCACTTTACAGTTCAACCAGATCATATAGTCAAATGATTCAAAGTTTTCTATCTAAGGAAAACCAGTTGATTGCATCGACTCATTGACTCGAAAGCAATCCCTCACACTAAGCATGCTTGTAGCGACAGTGGAGAGGGGAAAAAAAGCTTAGATTCAAAAGGGACTCAAAAGATTACATTTTATAAATGCTTCAAGAAAAGGCTGCTCAGTGGTGCAGTGGGAAACACTGCTGCCTTGCAACAATAAGGTTCTGGGTTTGATTCCCGGCCCACGGTCTTTCTGCATGGAGTTTCCATGTTTTCCCTGAGCATGCGTTGGTTTTCTCTGGGAAACACTGCTCCATAGCATAATGGCTGGAAATAAACCATGTGAGACACACTTGTTTGTCTTCTCCCTGTTTAGATAAGCCCAAATTTAACTTTTGACTTTTCAGCCTATTCAAAAATCTCTAAGATTAACTCTTAACACCATAACAGTGGTGAAAGACTCTATAAACACTTTCTTTTCTTGCCTCTTAAAATTTTAATAAAATACACAGAAATTTACTTTATAATGGAAAAGGGGATAAAACCTGCTGAAAGGCATTGGGATTAACATGTGACAATTGCAAGAAATGAAAAGAGGGATTTGTTTATGAAGGAGACAGAGAAATGGTGAGATGGGAGTGTGAGGAAAGTGGGTGTGTCTTGTTTTGCCCTTCCCCTCCCTCCATTACAGAGTTATAGATGGAGCACAAGCAGCCTGCAACATCCCCACTCCCAGTTTGTAGAGCTGCATTGTAACTGACAGCATCCAAGAAAGAAGTTCAGCCAGTCAGGAAAACCACCTGGATTCCTGCAACAGAAGCACAGGCTCCCTACTGCATCTGTCTTTTGGACTCAACTCCTGAGCTCATTCACTCACTCTGCGGGTCATTTACACCAGAGAGTGATAAGGATGGAGCAGCACTTACACTGCTTTCTGCTCCTTTTCTTCACTGGGATGGTTCTGTCTCTTCCTTCAACTTCCCACAGGAGCAGAGGTGAGGTTTGATCATGCATGATCTCATCTAGGTATTCAGTCTCATGTGTTTCATCAGGTAAAAAAACACATGATTTGAAAAACTAAATGTATTTATCATCGTTTTTATTTACCTCTTTGGCTAGAGATGTTCTTCTACTCTCTGACATGAATGCAAAAGTAGGCTTATGCTATAAAAACCTGTATGAAAAAAAATGTTTAAGCAAATTTACTGTTGTGAGGATCATTGGCAACACATAAAAACTACAACTGGCACATTTTCAATGACATTTATAAGTTCATTAAAATGTGCAGGAACTTTTTAATTATCTTTCCTTCTGGTTTCCAAGGGTCACGAACATAGAATGGCACAACTGTTTTTCTTTCAGAACAGGAAAGCCAGCCAACAATGCAACACAACAAAGACTGATATAATTTGACCATCAGAAAATTAACTAAACTAAACTGCCTAACTACTGTAAACTTAATCAGTCTCTGCATAAGTTAAAAACCTTAAAACAACCTTGAATTGTGATTTACAAGGAGCTGGATGATGACCACAGGTCATGATGCCAACAGGAGTAGTAAAGAGGATGAGGAGGTAAAATAAAACTTCAAAGCTCACTGTTAGAAGACTGCTCTAAAGAGTGGCATATTGAGGTTTACAAATCTCCATCACCATCCTAAAAAGTTATCTACATCCAAAAAAATGTTTTCCAGTAAAATACGTGCATTTGTGCTGCCATCACAAATATAAGGAGTTTCCTAAACCCACAACACATGTCATCTCAAGGCCCTTTACAGAGACAATTCATCATACAGTCAAAGTGATTCAATTTTCTATCTAAGGAAAACCAGTTGACTGCATAGACTCATTGACTTGATGCAATCCCTCACACCAAGCATGCTTGTCGCGACAGTGGAGAGGAGAACTCCCTTTTAACAGGAGGAAATCTCCAGAAGAAACAGGCTCAGTGTGAGCGGCCATCTGCCGACTGCCGACTGGGGTTTGAGAAAACAGAAGATGGCAGAGGATGAAAAGAGAACACATACAGTTAGGCAGTCAGTCAGGGAAACCCGCCTAGACTGAAAAACAGGTCAAGCTCCAACATTTATAAACAAAAGTGTTGATGGCAGCAGCACAGCTGATATTTCTCTACCAGATGATGTCACAGCCAAAAAGGAACAGACCAGATGAAGTTACTAAGCTGAGAAAAAGTAGTGAGAACATAAAGTTGAAGTAACAGTTGAAGTATTAGGCTGCCTATAGCAGCCTAACTATAGAGATAGATCAGGATAACCTGAACCACTCTAACTATAAGCTTTATCAAAAAGGAAAGCTTAAAGCCTACCCTTAAAATTGACAGGATGTCTGCCTCATGGGCTAACATGGATAGTTGGTTCCACAGGAGAGAAACCTGATAACTAATAGATCTGCCTTCCATACTTCTTTTAGAAATTCTAGGAACCGCTAGTAAACAACTTAAGATAAAAACCTATTTTCAATTGGGTAACCCTGAAAACTAAGTGCTAAATGAAGGGACAGTAATTAAAGTCAGTTAAATGGTCACATGTACTCATATAGCGCCTTTTTTCAAGTCAGGTAACTTGACCAAAGCACTTTACACTACATTCATTCACCTATTCACACACTGATGGTAGCAAGCTACATTGTAACCACAGCTGCCCTGGGGCTCACTAACAGAAGCGGGGCTGCCGTACACTGGCACCACCGGGCCCTCTGACCACCATCAGTAGACAATGCAGGTGAAGTGCCTTGCCCAAGACACAACGACACTGAAAGTCGGAGCTGGGGCTTGAACCGTCAACCCTTCGATTTCAGGGCAAACTCCTACCTCCAACTCCACTGTCGCCCTAGAAAACCAGTTCAGAAAACCAAGGTAGTTGTAATCTTTGACCTTGACTGAATAATTTGTCAGTACTTCTATCTTTAAGTTTCTTCTTATTTCAGCAAGTGAAAATTAAGGCAGGCATACACTGTACGATTTTTGCCCTTTTTGGGACAATTTTCCAGTCGTGCGAGATTTTCCCGAGTCTTGCACGGCCAAGTTTCGTGCATCCTGCATCGTGTAGTACACAGGGGGTAAGGAGGGGCGATCAGCCTCTCGCGACCACCTCCTGATCAGGAATCATAAGATCCGGAGAGAATCAAACATTTTTGTAATTCAGTTGGCCCTCGTGAGGTGTTTATGGACAAATCTTGCTGTTGAAGCAGAGCTATGAGCGTCTAGTCTACGGGCCGATTTACCAGAACCTCCAGCACTGCTCATGTGCAAACAAGGGAGTTCTTCTTTTTCTTCCAGATTGACCAGTCTGACCAGCGCCATCTCTCGGCGCTCTGACCAACATTTGGTTTTGGTTTTGCAGTATAAGCAGTTAGACCGCATCAGAGTGTGAACTTTGAACTGTGAGCTGTGAACTTTAAACTCTGCTGTTTCGTTGTACAGTGTGAGCTGTATCGGAGTACAACGATTGAAAATATTGTACAGTGTATGCCTCGCTTTAAGCTAACTTGTGCGCAGTTCTTGTAAAATGTGAGAAAACCAACTTGTGGAGTTGAATTTTAGTCAGAGGCTTAATGTTCATTTAACGCTCAATTTAAAGAATACAAATTGCTGATAAAAACATGCTGCAAAATAAGCTAAAATAACATTGTACTGTATGTTCTGTACAATGAAAATAAAGCTGTGTATTTAAGTTGACCTGTGGGTTAGTTACCAGTAATCAGGGATGGGAACCGGCATGTGGTGACCTAGTTATTAGCAAGCACAGCATTTGCTTCTTGGAGAAACCATAAAGGTTGAAGGTTTAAAGCTCAGACTCTTAATTTTGCTGCCTTAAAATCCTAAGTTCTGCTTTGGTTTTACAGTTCTGGAAGATTGGGCTCAGAATAATGGTTAGATCTTTCTAAAATTTGCAAAGTAAGATTATGCTCCTGCAATAATTTTTAATCAAGTATTTGTTAGACATCATTATCAGAAGTTACTTTGTTTGCACTTATCTGAATTCCTATAATGTTATACTGTACTTACATGCACATTTGTTTATAATTTTGGTTGATAAAACAGTTAAAGAAGAAAAAAAAAATATTTTAATGCAGTGTTTTTTTTTCAACCTCACTTTTTGTGAAACTGTAAGACACTCCATAAGAAGACAATTACAGCATATCAAACATTTTTGACTGAATCTTGCTACATTCTTGGAAAGCAGATAAAGTTTCCACAAATGTTTTCCAGATTGTTTCATTGTCCTGTTACTGTAGTTTTATTTTCTTCTCTCATGTGTGAATACTTGTCATAATACTTTCCATTTCTAGCTCTGTTTTCTGCAGGCCTTTGGGTATACTAGAGACAAGGAGTATGATCATGGGTGAGATGGTACAAAGTAGTTAACCAAACTTTGGGGCCTGTTGAGAGGTCAATGTTTAACTCTGGCTGCTACTGTAGGTTTGAAAGGCTCATTGTCCTATCCTACTGTCATAGTTTTGGTTCTGTTTAACTTTTCTCTTTGAGTTGTCATTGATTTTATTTCCATTTTGTGTTATTTTAGTTATTTTTTATTGTATTGAGGTCTTACATATTTCTTGTTTAACCTCTGTTTGCCCTCTTGTGTCAGTCTCCTTCTCCTAGCTCCCTTCTTGATACTTTTGCCCACATTTGCTCCCAATCTGCTGATTAGCCTGGTCTTTGTTCTTTCTCCCGTTTATACATGCAGGTTCCTCAATGTCATTTCCTTGTCCTTCATGTGAGTTTTCCCTGATGTTTTCTGGTTTTCTGTGTTTTGGTATTTTTGGATTTTGCTTCACTTGCCACCTTTTCTTATTAAATCTGCAAGAAACCTCTTCAGCTTCAGTCTCTGCATTTGGGTCCTCTTTAAACCTCCACACAACCTGAAACCTACCAGGGATACATGTCTTCGCTCTTGGATCAAAGATTTTATATATATTTATAGAAAACAAAATCTTCCTCACCTAAGGCGAGCCTCCAAGCTTGGGTCCTCTACCAGAGGGTTCTGCGCAGTATCTTTGCTGTTCCTAGAACTGCACTTTTCTGGACCGAAATGTCTGATGTATTTCCAGGGATCTGCTGTAACCACTCTTCGAGTTTGGGGTTCACCAACGACCACGGGCATCCCTGATGCCTTGACCTCCCAGCTCTTCTCCAGGTCCTCTCTGAGTCCCTGGTGTTTCTCTAGTTTGTCATGTTCATTTTTCCTGACTTTGCAGTCACTTAATATTGCTATGTCAACCACAACAGCTCTTTTTCCACCACTGCAATGTCCGGTTGGT